AAACAGGATTACGATCGAAGACATTGCGCCAAGCCCATATCAGAATTATCAAGAGGACAGCCAGTTTGGGTTAAAACTCATAGAGATGTCAAGGCTACGGTTGTAGACAGATCGAGAGACAGATCATATTATTTTTTTATATGTTGAAAACGGACAACGGCTCGAAGGTTCGTAATCGTCACCACATCCGGCTGAGGACGGAAGGCCACGATAGTAACCATCTCAATTTCCCCAGAGAGTCAGGGCCGCGTTACCCGTAAGACTGTTTAGGCTGTAGCCTAGGGCCCCGCGCTTGCAAACACGACGTTTAAAAAAATGTTTTTCAACAACAAAAAATTGTCCTCTTGTTGAATTGTTGTCGTTGTTTGTTGTTTGTATTGCTGTTGTTTTTACAGTTGTTGTTGTTGATGATGTTGATGAGAAGGATGTTGATGCTACCGCTGTTGCTGTTGTTGTGGCGGCTGCTGATAGGTTTCGGCTGCCTCATACTTTGCAACAGAAATAGATCTATAAATGTGCTTGTCGTCGTCTTAATCCACATTATTGGTGGATACTGGTAGGCCTACATCTAATCACGTTTTACAGAATAGCTTTAAATCAGTACGGGGTTATAATGCGGTAGTAGTAGCATCAACGTCATCGGCGAGGGGCCCCGGCCATGCGGCTCATGGACAGCCTTGGGCCCCGCACTTAGTTAACGCGGCCCTGTCTATGTTACCTAACCATCAACCACAACTACCAGCAGAATCACCAGAGTCAGACACAACCCTCCCTGATGCTTCCACTACGTCTGACTGCATAACGAAGTCGGGACGCCATATCAGGCCTCCGCAGAGACTCGACTTATAGGTGAAGTTTCTGCTGTGTACAGTGTATAATATATAGTTCCACCAGAGTTATAGATCTAGATTCAGTTTCTGGTTGATGTGTTCAGCACTTGGAACTGTTCTTGAAATTGCTTGTGAGGGGGATGTGATGTCAGGGGACATGACTCTTATTATTATTATGGGATAGTATAATTAGGGGGGTAGCGCGCTTTTGATAATGTGATATTGGAGGGCGCAGAATAGGCCGCGAGACGTCGGATACACACTGAGTGTCAGTCACAGTTGAGCACTGGACGACGAGCAGAACAACATTGATCCTGGACGTCAGAAAGGGGGCTCCCTGAAAGACCAAGACCCAGCTGGATAAAAAAGTAACTTTACAATACACAGCGAACAAATTTACAGGTCCCATTTCGTTGTACACGTAATCACGCATACTATTCTTTGTGTAAAACACATGCAACACGAAAATCGTACATAATGACAAAAATTATGTGCCTCAGATAAACATACTAATGAGCAATAAAAGTTTTTCAGTACACTATAAAAAAGCCAGTAGCATGCTCAGTGTTTTTCAACATTACTGTGATATGAATTTACCCATATGTACATATCTTTCTGTATCTAGAAAGATGATATTATTATTTTCTTCTTTGTTTTTCAGTTTCACATGCGCACAAGAAAGCTCCTCTTGTCTGAAATTATCATTGTCTTATATTATGCTTAAGTGCTCACTTCCTCAGGAGAGATGGCAAAACAATAAATTTAGTATCCATTAATATAATTATATGAAAGTTAAAAGTACTGAAGGTTCCATGTTCTGAGTATGTTATGTGCCAGTAAGCATATTGCGTGTGTGTGTGTGTGTGTGTGTGTGTGTGTGTGTGTGTGTGTGCATGCGTGTGTGTGTGTGTGTGTGTGCTTGTGGGGCGGGGGGGGGGTGTTATGCATATGTGTGGTACGAATAAGTGCATATTGTGCATACGTTTGAAAGCACGAGACAGTGTAATAGCGAGGCAAAATGCAATCTTTAAAAAGAAGTTTTTTTTTTTTTTTTTTTTTTTTTTGGGGGGGGGGGGGTGGTTCTGGGGTTCTTTTTTGTTGTTTGTTTTTGGAATAAAGGGAAATGGTTCACAGTATGGACCACACACGTTGAAAGTTTCTTTCAGCTGCTGCTTTAAAAAATCTGAATAAATAGTGTCTGAAATATTCAATACACAAACATGGATGATTTCGGTTCTTGTAATGAATGCAGTCCTATACAACAAACTCCACTTTAACTCAACATGGTTATTCCAAAAACAGTGGTAAACCAAAAAAAAATAAATTAAAAATCCCCAATATTTTTTCCTCATTTGTAGCTGTTCTACTGAATACCCAAAATACTCCTATCTGTAACCCGAAAAACAATTTCAAGGGTTATGTCATCTAATTTTAAACTAGCAACCCTTAAGCAATGCAAATCAAGTCTTCCACGTTCAAAGGTGACCAAACAGGAAAAGAGACACGACAACAGCCACGAGTCATTTGTGGGCCTGAGTGCCTGAGAGGGGCACTGATAATGTACTGTTTGTTTACGTTTATCACACACATCATTAGGCCTACACGTCGGATATATTCCTCGGGAAAAAAGGACAGCAATTGTATGTCACTGTCAGTCACACAATTTTCGGTTGGTCATGGCCTTTTGTGTCAGCAAAGCTAGTTCGTCGTATAGGTCCTACAGAGGAGCACGTGACAGCACACGGAGTGTCCCATGATTCCACTGACATTGGGGGGGGGGGGTTTCCTCACTTCTCTATCTGCTCTTTCATCTGTTTTGTGTGTCTGTTTGGCAGACTTAGCTAGCAGACAATGTCGACTTCTCTATCTACTCTCTCATCTGTTTTGGGTGACTGTGTGGCAGATTTAGCCAGATGACAACGTCAAACAAAAAGTCTAAAGTGTAAAGACCAGCTCAAATTTCATATATACTGAAAGAACATGGCATTCCCAACACTACGCTGTCAAAAATCATTGCTATTAGACTGCACCACTCTCTAAACTGAAAACCTGATTCAACCGAACAAAACCCAGTGGTCCTGCAGAATTTGGATAAAGTGGACTCCACTGTATCCACTGACGATAAAAAAACGTGCCAATGTATCTATTAGGTATGAAATTAAGTCTTTTTATCATTTAAAGTTTCATGCTTTTTCTTTTCTTATGAGCAGTACTGAGGTCTCTATAAACGGGTGATGCACTGTTGTGGTGAATGTAAATGGAGATCACATGGTGAACTGATGTATGACTTGGATTTTACCTTTGTTGTCTAATTTCAGTCACAAAAGGTATGTTTCTGCTGAAATAGTCCCTTCATATATCATCATCCGGTGCCTTGCCGACAGGCGTGGGCCATCATGGACCTCCACTTCGCTCTGTCTTGCGTTGCAGCAATGGTGTCTTTTGTTCTTGCTGCTCCTAGCCATGTTGTCATCTTGTCCAGTATCTTTTCCCTCTGTCTGCCTCTGCCTCTCTTTCTATCAAACTTGCCTGTGGTTACAATATTCTCCAATGCTTCTTTCCGCATTGTGTGTCCAAAGAAATTTGCCTGTCGCTTTCTTATATTCGTCATAAGCTGTCTTCAATAATTTGCTTCAACCAAGACTTCTTCATTTGTTTTTCTAGCTGTCCATGGGATACGTAGCATGCGTCTTAAGAACCACAACTCTGTCGCCACAATTGTTCTTTCTAGTTGTTTATTGATTGTCCCTGCTTGGCACCCGTATAATAGGATTGGCTCGATGTAACTTTTCAGTACTCTTTTTCTCGTTTCCAGTGACAGATTGATGTTTGTAGTATCTGTTTCATTTTGTGGAAGGTTGCCATTTTGCTTGGCAAATGCGGCTTTTAACTTCGGTGTGACATCTCCCATCTGATGAGGTAATGGTCCCCAAATATTTAAAATGTTGTACTTGCTTGAGGGTGGTATCATTGATTTTGATATTGCATGTTGGGGTTGGAGTTTTTCTGCTTATCACCATTGTTTCGGGTTTTTTAATGTTTAGGCTTAAGCCCATGTTGTCACTCTCTTGTACGATGACATTTAATAGATTCTATAGATGTTCTTCATCTTCTGCTTTTAGGATAGGACTGTGTCGTCTGCATATCTTAGATTGTTTATATCATGTCCCCCTATCGAGATACCTGACATTTCTTCTATGTGTCTCATGATATTTTCACTATACAGGGAGAACAAGTCTGGAGAAAGTACACATCCTTGTCTGACTCCTCTTTTAATCTGTATGTATTCGCTGATGTCGTTTTCTATTCTCATTGCAGCAGTTTGATCCCAGAACATGTTCTTGATAATCCTTAAGTCCTTCCCGTCAATATTAAGAACTTCCAGCATGTCGATGATCTTGTCGTGCCTAACTTTGTCGAATGCCTTGGTGTAGTCTATAAAACATAAATGAAGATTTTTCTGAACTTCTAGGGCACGTTCTATTGTTGTTCTGATGACATATATGGCATTTACAGTGCCTTTGCTTTCAATAAATCCACACTGTTCTTGGGCTATTTCTGGGAGAATTTTATTTCGTATTCTCATCATAATTATTCTGAGTAGTATTTTTGTTATGTGGCTCATAAGGCTGATGGTACGATGAGTTTCACATTCGTTTGCATTAGGTTTCTTTGGTAAAGCTATGAAGACAGATTTTGACAAGTCTGATGGAATATATCCAGTGCCATACATGTTGTTAAGAAGTTTTGTCAGTGTGGTGATTCCAAAGTCTTCTAAAGCTTTAATCATCTCTGTGCTAATGTTGTCTTGTCCTGCAGCTTTCCTAGTCTTCATCTTTTGTAGTGCCTTGATAACTTCTTCTTTCATGATTGGTGGGCCCTCCTTGTTATTTTCCACTCTTCTTTGTTCATCTCTTTTGTCATACTATCTCTTAAATACTTCATATTTCAATTTTGTGTTTGAAAGAATGACTATTTTGCTAAATAAAAAACAAACAGATTGAACACATGGGATGGTAACCTTTTTTCTGTCGGCAGTGTATATATCATGTGAATAGACACTGCTGAAAAAAAACTCCGACCAAACCGAGGCAAATACAGTGAACTTAATTTAATAAACAAAAATCAATTTCATTTTCCCCCTCCTTCTTTCTCATAATTTTGTCTTACCTCTGGTGATTCCAACCAAGCAAATAGTCCCCAAAGTGCAACTCCTGGGAATAAAAAACGAAAAATTCAGAAATAACTGAAAATATGTAAAGACAGCAAATATACTACGTATATTATACGAATAATAATAATTATGGTACTTATTTGTTTGTTTTTTCAGTTAAGAGACACACATCCACACAATAACGGTATTTATTGCAGGGAAGAGGCAATACAAACAAAAACAACAGAGGAATTAGGACTTATCAGTGGCACCCTTGATTCATGTAGTTGTCTGCACAGAGGGGAATATGACACAGTCTCATGCAGCAGATTCTGATTAAAACATTTTTAGACATTTTTGTTGTGCATCATGAGATGAGAGATTAGCTTAAAGAGAAATCAGGCTAGTCATATGTGAAAAAGTAAGGCAATAACTGCAAATTGATCCACAAATTTAATGCTGCTTCATGATCTGGATTAGAACACATGAACAAGAGAAGACGAAATTGGGTGCAGCTTTCATCATCCATCCAGCCAAACTTTATCAAATCTACAAAATCAATCAGACATCAGAGAGACTAATGAGCGTAAGTCTCACAGAGGGAAGCAAAACAACAATATACATTCAAACATACGCTCCTTGCAACAATAGTTACGCAAAAGAAGATAGAAAATTTAATTTTCAAGACATGAGTAATCTCGTTAACACGATTTAAAACAAATAAGATGTATTTATCATAAGACAACTTAATGACAAAGAAGAGGAGGCTCAGATGCTGTATTATATGACAGGTATGCACGAAAACTATCGAACACAATAAGAAAGCCGACATTGTTTTCCTAGATCCGGAGGGTGTTTTTTATATAGGTGTTTTACAGGCAGAACCAGATGGAAATCTCTGGCCGATGCCATACTTTCTGTCCATCGTTTAAAAAGATGTGGACTTAACTCTTTATGTATAAGATTTGAGCCCATTTTTAAAGAATTTTAAATGGGGTGAACTTTCTACTCGTTAATACATCCAGGATGTCAAACATCAACGCAAATTTTATTGCACATTACGCAGAAGCTGAAAATATAGAAATCATTAATGTGTCATGTTGTCTTTGTTGCATAAAAGGTTCAGAAGAAATAATTGAAGAAATAATGAAAAATATTGATGAACGCTGACAACATTCTTCCATGGCTGAGGGATTTCCCGACCAACATGTCATGTTTAATGAGTTAATATAATAAAAATAGTAATAATTATAATAAAAATAAGAATAAAAAAGGGAATATAATATATAGCTCTGAATCCCACGATAGCTCTAAGCACTGTACACTGCAGAATTATCACTCAACTTAATTGACGAATTAAAAGACAAAAAAAGTATATTGTGAGACCATTTAACAACAACAACACACACACTCACACAACTACCAGACCCATACATGTTTTAGCATAAAGAGTTTATTGGCATAGGATAATGTTGAACAAATATATGTCTTTTGTTAACTCTTTAATTCAGGATCACCATTTAAGTGGCATTTTTGGTTCCGCATTTTAACAGATCATCACTTAAGTTGCATTTTGGGGGTATAGATTCCATCAACTTCAAGACCTGTACCTGGTCCTGTGCTGCATTTACAATCTATTTTCCCCCATATTGTGAATTTCTGTCCAATTACAAATACTATTAGCACTCACACAAATCCGTCAATATTTGGCTGAACTATAGCCATTTTATAGTAACACACTTCGTTGCCTGGGTGTAAAAAATGTTGAAATCCCTTGCCTATCAAGTGCTTACAGTACAGTTAACTAACTATAGCCCTTCAAAAAGATAAACAAGGCCAGACACAGCCTTTGACTTTTAGAAATTTTTCCCTGAACTTAGGAGGGAGGGCTGTGATATGGTATGCAGGCAAGGGGTCGAATGTGATATTTATTACAGTTCTGCGGTGGCTGCTGCACACAAAGTTTGGATATGTGCTTTTCCTTATCCTTGATGATTTGTGAGCTTTACACGTTGTTCCTGATCAAGTTTTTTTCTTTGCAAAGCAACAGTTTCAAGTAATAAAAGAAGGTATGTAGAGTTTGCTTAGCTTCCATTTGTTCCAAGCAAAAAGAGTAACTAACTTTTATAGCTAATCTGTCTCCGACATTAGTGCAGGAACAATTGTGCTATGAGATGGAGTTATCCATTTGGAATGTGCACTTACAAGTGATAACTATATATGAGGCATCATGGTGAAATCAGAGGCTCATCAACATAAATAAATAGGACAAAATCAACCATTTTTCCACTTTTTTTTGTTTTTGGCTCTATGCCTTTTATCTTCACATTAAAACACATTTCTGCAAAAAAATTTTACTGGAAAAACATTGATATAAGGTACAAAAATGAAAATTTGTTTTTTCCAAGGACACTAAAGCTTTGGGAGTCACCAAACTTTAGCGTCCATTATCTCCCTACTTTTACCACTGAAACCAGGCGATCCACACCTCCTTTAATAGCAAATATCTAAACTTCTATTCAAAATAGAAGGATGTTTCTTTCATCAAAAGCAAGATAAATGAATAAGCTTTCAGATGATACCAATAACTCCATATGCCCCAAAATTGACGAGCGCTCCATTCCACTGCGTCCGGACACTTTTTATAGCTGATCTGTCCCCGACAGCACATGAACAAATTATGCTTTTAGACGGTGTTGTCCATTTGGAATGTGCACTTTCCAGAGATAACCATTAATAAAAAGTTAATTTCCACACTGCCAGTGTGCTCTGAAGTGGATTGTGCCTTTATTCCACTTACTATTAGCAAGAGACCACTGTAATTTAATTAAAGTATACTTTACTCCATGTTTGGGAATAATAAAGTTCATTCAATGAGACATCCATTTTGATACATTTGTTTCTAAGCTTTGAATTTAATCGGTATTAATTTATCCTTAACAATTTATAACTTAACATTGTAACATTTATGCTTACCAGAATAACTTTTTCTTTTATCCTACTTACAATTATATCTCTTCATACCAAAATCTTAACAAAGAAGAATGTACTCAGTATTATATCTCTCTTCAATCATAATAGTGAATCAACTATATTGGCAATAAACTGTACTCTCACTGAGCTTCCACAATTTTTTGTTCAAATCTTGTCTTTATATAGCTGTTTATTAATGTATCTTAAGCACTTATCACACTGCACCACAACTTAGAAAAAAAAAGATAACTATTTAAGAAAATATGAAACGTTCAGCTTGTCGTAATATACAGTAGAGCACATCTATAAAGAACATTCTTGTAAAGAACTGACGAAACTAAAGGACACATTTCTTTACCCTATTTTTTTTCTCTTTGTGTTTTTTATATTTTGACGCATTTAGCGAACATACGGTCACGAACTGACAGCTGTAACAAACCAATTTTCTTGTCCAACAAGTCTTTTTTAAATTCCTTCTTATTTACGACTGAAGTAATGAACCAGCCCATCTCTATGAGTTGACCAAACTAAGAGTTGCCCAACTGCCATGCGAGTCTGCCTACACAGTGACTACACACTGCCCACACACTTATCGGCACAAGCCGATGGCTGACACAATGGATTTGCATAATTGTTTTCTTTGTTCTGCCAAGCCCCTAGCCTAGACATATTATAAATATGGACATTGACACTAGTGTGCAAACATCAGCAGTGATTTCCGACGCTGAAATTGTGGAGCAAGAGAAGGAAGCTTCTAGTTGTAAAACAAACAGAAAAGTCCATGAGCAGATAACTGTGACAGTGAGCTTTGAGGAGGCAGAACAAAGTGCAGAGAAACTGAGAAACAATTTAGTAGTCAATGGGGGGGAGCGATTTTTTTATGTTCTTGGGGACATGCAGAAGTTTGTCCTGGATGTAGGTGAAAGGGAGAAGCAACAAACATCCATAACTTCCTTTTTTCCTTCTCTTGGGAAGAAATAGGTCATTGTACACATGTACCATGTATGCTAATACTATTACTATGATCAAAAGGACTATGTGAGAAAAAGTATGTTTGTGTGTGTGTTGACTGAAATACATGTATAAAGAACTACTGATAAAAATTTAGAAAAAACTATTTTTACAGCCCAGGCTTGTTCTTTACATCAGAGTTTTACTGTACCTCCAGTGAAAAGTTCTTGTACATCTCATGTCCTGATATACAATGCAGTCGTTCTCCCTTGAGTTTTCCCGTCGGTGATGCTTCAACTTCATCCTCTTCATCTTCAAGTATGACCAGAAAGTAGAAATTTGTGCCAGACCAAATTGTTGTATCGCAAGACCTTACATCAAGGTAGTCTTGGAAACAGTACTGGGAGTGCTTCTTTTTCATTATAATCTTTTCCACGTCAGCTGCCTGCAGAAAGCCATCTTTGTTCTTAGCAAAAGAGGGATCAGGTAGACAACTCAAATCAGGAGCTTGCACAGGTCCCTGTGAATTCTTCTCACCAGGTAATCTTGGTGACAGGACAGATGTTTTGTTCTCATTCCTAGAAAATAAAGATTTCAAAACATCCCATTATATTTTGAGTCCCTCAACAACAGAACATAATTGTGAGGCACCGTGGTGAAATCAGGTGCTCGTCAAAATAACGAAATCGAAGACTCCAAGGACTCTCTATCTATGGAAGTCCCCTAAGTTTGGCAGCCATTTTCTCGTTAATTTTTCCACTGGGACCAGGTGACCCCACCTCCTTCAATCACAAATATCTCGACTTCTGTTAGATAGGTATTTTATTCATTGAAAGCAAGACAGATGAACAATCTTTCAAATGATACCAATAACTCCACATGCCCAAAAATGGATGAGTGCTTGATTTCACAACATCTTAACATATATATGCATGCCTGATTGCATAGATGAAAACACACACAAAGTCAACTCCTCTTCTGGTACAAAATCTAAAATATGACATATATATATGACACTACATTGGTCTTTCAATTTAAACAAGTGAACCTATAACGATAGTTTTTCATCAAATGAATAAAATTCTGGTAAAAGAGTCCTGTTTTCGGCAACTGCCAAAGAGTAATTTAACGCTGGAAGCTGGCAGAGATAAGGAGTTAATCTAGTGTATTTGTTTGCTCTGAGATCATCCTGTTAAAAAAAGAATACACAAGGTCCATAATTCTATGTAAAATTCAAAGCAGGGTACTTAGAACATTGAATGAGCAGCCACGTCTGTGGTCCTTGTGTTTTGTATTTTGTGCAAGGATCTATAAAATCCTGTCTCACCTCGCAGACACCAAATCAACGTTTTATGCTGTATGCGTACCTGTAAGGATACCACAGCTGCCAATATCAACAACAACAACAACAACAACAACAACAAAAACAAAGGGGAAAAAAAAGAGAAATTCACCTTGATTGCCAGACCAATTGGTAATCAATAGCGCTCATGTGGGCCAAACCAAAATAAGAGCATTAACTCGTTATCTCCGGCAGCCTCTCCCACAGGTTCACGGTTGGAACCAAGTTCACATCTCTTTACGCAACTTCAACGTCAAATACTTTTCAGTAATTGCCGAAAACTGACCAATTTAGTGACGTTTATCTTAGATTTTGTACCAAAACAAGGCCCCAGCATAGTGGGTTTACAACCCCCCCCCTCCTCCACAAAAAAGAGTTAAGAGTATGTTGACATGGGCAGCGAGGTGTAAGAAAACATACAGTGTGTGAGCATGCTCATGTCTTTAAAGTCATGTGGCATCTGTGGTCTAGTGGTTAGGCTCTTGGATTCTAAACCATAAGAGCTTGAGTTAGCATCCAGTCAGTGGTCCAATGTTGTGTCCTTGGGAAAGGCACTTTACATGGATTTTGCTCATGTCAACGGGATCAATAAAGTGGGATTTATCTATGTTTTTATTTTGTTTTCCATTTAGTTGATATATTCTTAGGAAGTGGTAACAACAAAACTGCCATCAATCAGTAACAACTGAAATGTTGGTTGAAAGCAATAGGCCCATAGGATAGTCTAAGCCTTGAACTCTAGGTTGTTGTGCTGAAGGCATGTGGGCATCTAATTCAAAATAAAAGCAAGCAAAAGGAGTTTAATTAAAAAATATAGTTTGAATGAACTCAAGTTGCAAATAATTTTTACATCTTGTTTTTCTCCATATGTGGAAACTATTATTATCATGATATTGTATGGAAATGATCTGACACTCCCGATTAACACAGAAAGGTAAGTATGAAAACAGCACTACAACTCCTGTCCAGCCAAGCAGGTGGAGATATTGAAACCACCCCAAACAACCCCTGTTAAAAAATGCAGAAGAGGGGATTCAAACCTGGATTATACACATTAAAGCCCACCATGATTCCAACTGAGCAAACAGATACCCCTTTATCATTCCGTTGCCACATACCTGTCACTGTTCTGGTTTGCTGGTCTCAGCTCTGCTGCAGAAGAGGAAAAGGTGAACTGAGGCTGGGGGAAGAAGATCATATAAAGTCAGGGTTAAATTTTTAATGAGTCACAGCGCGGCGGATGAAAAAAAATATCCATCAATCTTTAATAGAAGTTAGTCGAGATATTTGCGATTGAAGGAGGTGGAAGGTTGCCTGGTTTCAAACATTAAATTGTTGAGAAAATGGCTGCCAACTTTTGACACCTTCAATAGTTTGAGTTTCCTTGAAAACTAATTTTCAGTAAAATTCACATGACATTCTTCGGCACTGTGTCCATGCTTTTACTTTTACATACCCAGCATTATAAGTGAGGCACCGTGGTGGAATCAGGCTCTAGTCAGTTATAGGTATCATCTTAAAGCTTGTTCACTTGTCTTTATTTGGATAAAAAAAGTATCCATTTATCTTGAATACAAGTCGAGATATTTGCGAAAGAAAGATGTGGGGGTCACCTGTTTTCAGAGGTAAAATTAGTGAGAAAATGGTCGCCAAAGGTTAGTTATTTCCTTAGCTTAAGAGTCCGTGGTAACTGAAAATTTACATTTTCTGTGCCTTTAATCAACGTATTTCAGAAATATCCATACAGAAATGAGTTCTTTAATGGGCATGAAATGTGTTGAGCCAAAAAACAAAAATTTAATAAAAATTCTCAAACCTGCGGAAAAATGCAAGTTTCTTCATTTTGATTATTTTGACGAGAGCCTGATTCCACCACGCTGCCTCACAATTAAGTTATAAGTATTCCTATGATCTTTAAAAGCATGCATCAAAATACCATTGACCTACAATCATTGAGTACGTATCTATCTTAACACTATTAATGTTTATAATTACAGATCATTTATATTTTGCATGTGACTGTGAGTCTGTTTGTGAGAGCAAGCATACTATTGTATTATTACGGTCATGTGCACAGATGTTGGAAGAAGAGAGGATGTGTGAGGGAAGAGTGTGTGTGTATATGAGGGTGCACATGAGCATGCTTATGCATGTGTGTACATGTCTGTCTGAGTGTGCGTGTGTGCCTTCGTGTGTGTGCGTGTGTGTGTGTGTGTGTGTGTGTTTGAGTGTGTGTGTGTTGGCGTGGGAGTGAGTGTGGGTGCGTGTGTGTGTGCCTGTGCGCGCGTGGTGAAACACCAAACCAATGTGCCGGGATCTGGACAATAAAGATGTAGCTATAATATCTTATCTTTATCTTCTTCCATGTATGTAGCCATCTGCTCAGGACCAGTACATACCTCATTTGCTCTTCCATCTGAGCTGGTGCTGAAGAATGACCCTGTGGGAACAATAGGTGGCTGCGGCAAGGAAGTGGCACACTCAAATGGATTTGCGGTACTCGACTCGTGTAATTGGGAATCCTCTGACGATGGGGGCTGGACTGGACTGCTGTCTACTTTTGACTGCAATTGTTCAACTTCCACGTCTAAAGCTTCAACAGCCAAAGACAACCGGGCCAGAGCGGGTCCAACCGACACGTCATTCTCACCATCATTGACCACACCCTGCCTGGCATCTAGCTCATCTACTTTTTGTCCCACAGTTTCCATCACGGTCCGGAGATCTCCCATTTCCTCACTAAAAACAGAGAGTAAACAGAAGGAAGAACTTGAATAAGATTCTGCTGTTGGGAGTATTCAGACATGAAATAAATCAATATGAAAACGTTCAAGTTTCAAATCCAGATTTGGTCAGAAGCTTTTCTTCATTATTTTTTAAATTTTAATGTTTTCTCTCAGCATGGTCTTCTGTTCTGTAAGCTTGCCCTCCATCGTTTAAATGATTTCTGCTGGGTTCAACAATTAATATCAACAACAATAATACCATTATCACAGAGAAAGTCTGATAAAAAGAAGATAAGCTTAAAGGTGTAGAGAGGTTGTTCAAATAAAGGTTTAAAAATCGAGGATTTTATTTTCTTTCAGTTTATATATAAACAGCTTTCAGATTAAACATGTTTCCTTTAAGCGGACTCCATTGTATGTACGTTTCTAAGAATGGCTCATAGACAAAATAATACAAACACATTGGAACCTGCTTGAACCAAAATCTGTGGAACGGCCGAATTTTCTTCAGTTAAGCCATAACGTTGTCAGCTTAGAGATTGCCCTTGTGGCATTCACACTGAAGAAAAGTAATTCATCACTCAAATGCCAAGAAATATAATAGTTATGTCCCTTCATTCTACAAGTATTCACTGTTTCAATCCTTTTTCTTTAAGAGATGATTGTCGACAAAATAGAGATAGAGTCGGGAATGCCATGTTTGCGGCAAATTTCACTTTAAGGAAGATTTTTTTTCTCGTCTATCCATTTTAGTAACTGCAATCTAAACCACATGGTGTCCACACTGTGCTTTCTCTTTGACAATATCAGCTTGCTCTATCAGCTGAACTGTTCAACCAGCACAGACAATAGTGTAGCTGTTGATGAGAGCCATAGTTGTAGGCAAAAAATTCACTGATGATGCCTCTCTCTAGCCCACAACCAACAGATATGCATTTTCATGTCTCTTTCTTCTGTTTCACTGTCTGGAAGCTTGTAAGAATTGACGGTTTGATTTTCTTGACAGTTAATTGGTAGTGAAAATTTAGATGACAGTAGGCCTACCATCAGAAATTTTTAAAAACTTAGATAGGAGCCTTTTGGCTAATCATTACTTATATCTTACATAGACAAAGAAGAAAAGAAAACAACTTGGAGATTGTATTTTTCTTTCCCATTACTGCTGGTGTCAGATTAATTAATTGTTTTCAGATTTAAAAGATACCTCTGTAAAAATACACATAAAAATAATATAGCCTATCAATAGAGACCAACCTAAAATTGAGATAATGTTCTTGAGATCCTTATTATCATATTCAAGTCGTTCCCCCCCCCTCCCCAAGTTTTATTTTTAATGCAAGAGTTGCATTACAGTTCAGTGCACTGAAAAGCTTTAACATACCGAAAAACAATGCAGGGTCATTTAAATGTCGAATTTCAGAGCTCCTATGCTTAAAGAATTAAGCTAAGTTTATGAAGAGTCACTGAAATTCTTCAAACAACCCAATCTAAACATCATCCTGTTGGGAAAATGAACAATGGTCATGTGCACCATAGATAAAAATTGAATAAACTGAGCCATCAGCAGGTCCAAATAGTAAAAAAAAAAAAAAGGTAATGAGACATAATGAAAAATAACTTTTAAAATTAAAAATATCAAATGTTTAATGAATACTACTTAAGCAGCTGAATAAGAAAAAAAATCTTCTATTTTGTCAGACTTTAACCAACCGACAACAATGTTCTAATTCTTACACAAAGTAAAATCAGGAAAGAGGAGGAAAAAAAAGCACCTGATTTTATCAACTTGTTTACTCAGCATTGATGGAAAAACAAGTTGGTTTCTTAGCATTTCTTTTTCTGCCTCCAGACTTTCAATCCTGCTTATCATACTTGTTAGGGATTGAACCAAGGAACCATTACATTTCCTCATCGCAGTCATAAACGTAAACGTTTCGAGCATCCATTCTGTGATGTGAGGAGGTGTATCTCCATCACAGTTCGGGGTTTCCTCATTTGCTTCAACTTCAGCATTGTCAGAGTCTTCTCTGTCTTCTGTGTTGCTTTGTTCTTGGGCTGAGTTGACAGTCAAATTTCCATCTTTTCTCACTTCCTCGTGGGACTTCATCCCTGATGCTGAGTCAAACTCAGAGCAATAAAAATATTCATCATCTTCATCCATGACACACTGTTGACGTTTGAAAGCACTTATACCTCCTTCAACGCTAGATCAGTCAAGGGTGTGTTGTTTTCAGCTCTGTTCCACCAGCCTGCCTAAGAAAGAGATTGCAGAATCATTTTAAGAAAGGTAAACCAAGTGACAATCAGAGACTTAAATTGAGTTCAGTTTTTCCTTTATCATTGCAACTGTCACATTTTGTTCTGCCCAAAAAAAGTTACTCTTGAAAATCATCAGGCTACTTTCAAAGTAAGGATCATATAACGAAAACACTACAGCAGACACAAAAAGGTCACTATATAGTTATAAAAGTTTACCTGAATTTTTCTGTAAACATTCAGAGAGCAAGTAACATGGTTTTAAAAAAAGAGCAGTGTGTAGAAATAAAGGTGTATGGTATAAAAAAAATAATAAAGTAAAGAGATGAATTAACATATTCCAAGATGGATAGAACAATTATGATAGCATAAAAGCCTAAAAATATAATTAAATGAAATAAATCATAATAAAGGAGGCTCTCCTTGGGACTGTAAGAGCCCTAGCTGAAAGAACATGGGAGGTAACCTCTAGCTAGTGGATATCTTATAAAATCAATATTACAATAAAAACCAATTATAGATTAGTGTGAACTTTTTATATTGTTGCACATATTTACAAAACGATTCTTTTTTTGCTATGTCAGAACACATTACAGTGGAAACCTGATATAACAGGGATGGTGGGAGTAGAGAAAATGTTCTGCTATATCCGATCTCTGTTAAATCAGAAATGCAAGGAAAGTAAACATTTGTGGACTAATCTAGCTGTACTTATTCATGGGTAGTTTCCCTTGCCACAAGTACCCACGAACTTGGCACTAACTTTCTCCTTGCCTCCTTAAACCACATCAGAAGAGTTTGGTCCACAGCATCTGCATCGGTTAGTCTCATCTTCTTTCGATCCAAAGCAAATTTTCCATTGGAGTATGCTGCCACTATCTTCGCTCTATCCTTGATAATGGTGTGAATCGACCCTTGTGGAATGTCGAAGTAACGACAAATCTCTGACAGTGGAGTCAACAGCCTGGATTATTTCATATTTTTTTGTCAATTGAAAGGCAGTTTCTCATGCGCTTGACATCGTTGGTGACACATTACGCGTGCGGGTTGCTAGGTTTCGGGCTAGGTCGAAGTCTGCAGCACACCGCAGCCCTCTCTCGCTTCACAAGCTGTGTGTACTTGCAGTGGCATGGCTTGCGTGTGCTTGCTCCTTCTCTCTCTCTCTCTCTCTCTCTCTCTCTCTCTCTCTCTCTCTCTCTCTCTTACTTTTTACACATTGTTAACGAGCCTTTGTCCCTGCTATAACCGGTTGGGCTCCGATGAGGCCCAGTTATTGCCGATAACTTTTAATAGATACAAAGAGTAGGAAAAAACGGCGATTTAAAAAATCCCTGTTATTACCGGATCCCTGTTATTACCGGGCCTGTTATATATGGTTTCCACTGTATATTGTCTTGTATACTGTTATTCAAAAATAGATCCGTCCACCAGGAACATTTCTAAAAACACATACAACATACAAATCAAATACAGAAGAGTGGAATAATCATGAAATGGCTATCTAACACCAAATAGAAAGTATGTAATGGTCATATTAAAATATATAAAATAACAGTGATCTAAATTTGGGATAGCTTCCACGAGGATAACTCGGAGAGCCAACAATTAACAGAGACACAAAAATTAAGGTCATAGTAATTAGATATCTAGTAGATGAACAAAAAAATCTATCTAACATTGATATAAATATCAAATCTTTAGATTATAAATTTTAAAAACTCATGATACACATATTATATCATACACCGGTATTTATCTTTGTTGAGATAACAACAAATATAACAACTGAAAACAACAAAAATAACAACTGATAACAACAAAATAACGACAAAATATCAACACGAACATTCTAATTTAGTTGCCTTTACTTGTTTTTTAAAGTAGTCTACATTGAACAACTGATAATAATTATTTAAATATAACAACTGATAACAATAAAATAATGACAAATATATAAGCACAAACGTGCTGGTACACAAGGTGATCAATTCAATATCAATTTAATAATGATAGATCTATATTATTATTTACAATGTCACACAAAACTGTATCACAGGACAAAATAGGCGCGATGACATGATTACATACAACAGCTGACGTACCGCCGGTACTGAAACTACAGGATTTATCAGATCTAGGCTATACAATCATACAAGAAATTTACATTTTCAATCAATTAATCAATTTAATATTAATGTCTCAAAATGTCATGTCATGCGCGTTGGTGAGAAAAAAGATATGGAGAGACAGGATTACGGTTTTTTTCCAATAAATTGTTACTTTCGATTTGAATGTAAACCAAAAAAGAGGGACGCAGCTCCGGTCACTGCTAAAGAACAGGTCTACTTCCAGAGTTGCTCCGAGTTGTGCATGTAAAGTATAGGGGCTTGGTTGACAACATATATATTTTTGATTTTCGAAGCTGGAATCAAAGTATTTGTGTGTTATCAGATGTTATTTGTTGTAATCAGTTATTGTTATGACAATTTTGTTGTTGTTTATATCTCGACAAAGATAATACCCGCCTACACTACTTCCAGACATATTTCGCACAAACTTAATTAAGCGAGCAGCCTGTCTCCTCGCAAGCTCGAGAGGTTTCAGTTCACAGCAAAACCTGTGTAAGGACAGTACGGTAGATAGATAATCCTGCAACACTTTATCTCAAACTGCCATATAAATTCATTATACTCAATTAAATAAATAAGAATTTTCCAGCAACAATTTTAGTGTCTTCAGATCACTGTTGTTGGTAAGCCCACTGAAAATATTATTGGCCTATGCCCTATACATAGGATATAATTGTTTCCATGTGAATCACCATGTCATGCAATTAGATATATATAGATTTAGATTCTATACTGATTTCACTCTAGATCTAGATTTCTATATGGAATTCAAAACCTAGATCTAGATTCCAGATTTCTATAATATAGATATCTAATGTCTAATAACATATCAATTTAATACAGACCCTTAGATATATATCTAGATCTAGATCTAGAAGAAAATATTTCTAGTTAGATCTAGGCTATTAAATTCTTGGACCAAATTCTTTGATAACGACAACTTTAGAATTTAAAAAAAAAGGAAAGTATGCCTACTAGAATCTAGAGATACTTACCTAACACTAATAGTGACACTACAAGGCTACAAAGATGACTTGACTTCAGTCCTCCCTCACTTCGTTGTCTTTGGTTTAATTTTTGACTGCCACTAGATCAAGGCCTATCACAAACAAAGTATAACTGATCATATTGAGACCAATAATTCTGAACAAAACTGGCCCCTTCCTTGCTGGCCCAACAATCACAAAGTTGGTTTCCAGGAACGCTGTGTCTGCGTACACGGTTACCGTGTACGTAGCCTCGGGGTCTACGTACACGGTAACCGGGCACGTAGCCTCCTGGTCTACGTACACGGTAACCGGGCACGTAAGCTAGCCTCAGTGTCTACGTACACGGTAACCGGCAACCAGGCGCGTACGTAGCCTCTGGGTCTACGTACACGGTAACCGGGTGTGTAGTCTCAATGTCACACGCACGGTAACCGGGCGTGTAGCCTCAATATCTACGTACACGGTAACCAGGCATTTTGTTTTGTGGGCGGGCGCTTGAGCTAGGTGCACGGTAACTGCTTCGCTCCCTTCGTGACCGTGACCCTTTTCCTGTTTCACTCCGCTTTTTATGTCCCAAAACCACGAAAATTATCCCAATCTACTCCCCGTCATCTTCCTAGTTTAGTTTAGTTTTAGCAGAGGTTTTACGGCACTCGCAACT